TTCCCACATGTGCCAGCCCAGCTGGTTTCCCCCCAGCACTCCCACCCCTGGAGCTGGGCCTCAGCATCCCTCCTGCTCCCACCCAGCTGAGCTGGTGCATCACTTCGGAGAGAGAGAGAGAACAAGTGGTCCCAGGGGCTGCAATCATTAATCCGGTCCTGTCAGCACTAAACAAGAAACAATTAAAAGTTTTCAAGCAGACAGAGCTCAGCTTTTTAATCCCACAATTACAACCAGCAGCGAGAATATCGAACCATTTGCTGAAGGTACAAAGAAGGGGGGGGTGACAATCCTCATGGCTATTCCCAAGAGATGCAAGGGTATCCCAAGAGGGGTGGGGAGGTGACAAGAGCCCAGCACTTCACATGACAGGGGGGATGGTGGCCCAGGGGATGTTGTCTGTGGGGACTGGGGGGTGTTGGGTCCTTACTGGTGTCACTGGGCAGAGCAAATCTCCATCCTGCTCTGCCCTGATCTGAAGGATCCAGTGAAAGAATACACATTCTCTTCAGCAAAGAGGCTGCTGTTAACTGCCTGAACACACCTAGGAATATTCCTACTCACTTCTGTGAAGTTCCCACATTCCCAAAGCACAAGGGAAGAACGTTCTCAAAGCAGAGGGGTTTGCCATGAAACCAGTTCCCCGGGCCCATGTCTTTGAAGACACGGGAGCAGCTGATTCCCAGTGGATGCAGGAGGGATGAGAATCCAACCCGAAGCATCTAGGCCAGCTTTTTGCTAGAAAAACACCATTTCTTTCCTAAATTTCCTGCTAATATTCTCCCCTCCTCCCTCTGAGCACACACACGTGGCTCTTTCTAAGAGAATCCTAACGCTTGCAGTCTGTCATTCAACGGGGGAAAAAAACAGCAAGAGCCAAGTACAGGGATGAATAAAATTATCCCCGCGCATATAAATGTGCAATATGCAAATGAACACTCCTTCCTGAGCAGGAGGAGGAGGAGTGGGGTGCGGCACAGGGCTTTGTGTGAACCCTCTGCACGTGCTGGGTTCCACAGGAACAGGAGAGACCGTGAGGAGCCGAGTTTTTTCAGCCCAATATCTCATTTATTAACCTAATAGGAGTATTTCTGGCACCGATTCATGAAAGCACTTAGAGACATTCATCCCTAAGCACCCCTCCTGGAAAGCAATCCTGTCCTCCAGGCAGGTACACAGTATTATTTTCAATGCAGCCATGGCTTTGAGGAAGCAATAACACACTTTTCATGTATGGGAGCACATTTAACCCCATTGTTTCGAAAGCAGTTGCTCTCTGTGCAACAAACACGGCGCCTTTTAAGTGCTAATTTTCTCCCAGACACCAAACAAAATGGTGTCTTCACTTACTTATCCTGGGCTGGGGGGGGGGTGTGGGGGTTTTGCTTTCTTTTTATTATGTGTTTTTCACATTACACTTGCTAATAAAGCCACTGTTGTAAAAAAAAAAATCTTGAACAACATAAATTGAGGTTAAATGTGCTGATTTTAAATATGTTCTCAGCCAGTGCTAAACAAGAGGTGACACAGGCAGGAGAGGAGAGCTGATTACTTATGCTGACTATTACTTCACCCCTCAGAGCCACAATGACCTGAGTTTTCTTAATCACCAGACTATTCAGCAGAGTGGAAATTGCACCCACATGGAATATTTATCACCCTCTGAATCCAGCCAAGTCTCCATACCCAGCAAACCCAGATACCAACATGTGAGTGACCTCAGCTCCTCTGGACAGAAAACCAACCCCCCCCCGTGGAACGTGTTCCTGGGGCTTTTTACCAAACCCAGACATTTTAACTGCTTTAACTTCTTGGATGAAAAGCTGACTCAGTTACCAATCAGCCAGGTTAAGAACTTTAAAAGTTTATATTATCATAGAATCATGGAATGGTTTGGGTTGGAAGGGAGCTTAAAGATCATCCAGTGCCACCCCCTGC